AAGTGAATTCACCAGGATTCAGTGCACTGTATATAAAACCTTTGTTTATAATTTGCAGGATTTGCAACTGACCTATTTTGTTACTTCAGGCATAAAGGCACTGGGTTAACTCATTTAATTTAATCTGACTTTTTTCACTGTTAACTGTTTTAAGAGTTACTTTGATTTGTGATATTTTTAAACACGAAGGCCAACATTTTCTTACCTGGTAGAGACTGTCTACTAATTTTGAGTGCTTCAGATTTTGGGTGACCAATGTGCAGTCTGAGTTTCAGAGGCAACTAATAAGAGAAATAACAAGAACCTTAAAATAATCGTTGTTTTTTTTTTAAATCTCATTTTTTTTTAAGCTGCCTTTGTGATGTTGGAAATCTGACTCATGATTTTGTATCTTTGGGGATTGCCCTACTGATAAAAAGTTATATGTGGGTAACAACAATATTGTCTAGGAGGACCTCCGTAGGTAGACATAGAAGAGTAGTGTTTTTTTCTGAATCATTCAGCCTATCTCCAGTGGTTTCATTCTGTCATTTGTGTTATGTTAATACGTGAAGTACATGTCAACATTTGAACAGAACAAATATCTGATGAATGAAGTGAAATGTACATTGAACCATAACCCATGTTTAAAATTATTTGAAGGAAACATCACCAGCTTTTATATGGGTAACTAATTTGAAATCTACAAAATCCTAATATTTTACACAGGAAAGGAAATTACTGCATTGCCATAATACTCTCCTAAGAGAAGTTTGGAATTTCTATTCTTTCATTGAAATTTGGTTCAAATAAGAGACCTAATCATTTAGTATGTGATATTTTAGTTTACATGATTTACTATGTAGAAGAAAAATGTCTAGACCTACAGCTTGAGTGGACACACAAGACGCAAAGAATTGTACATTAAATGAATCTGCACAAGGTAAGGCATTCCTTTTCCTCAGCAGAAGGATAACATGTTTTCTTTACACTCTTCTTACTGATCAAGAAATGATGAAATGACAACTACTGAACAGTGATGAAATGGTGTTAGATAAAAGTAGCACCACTATTTCCTCCCCTGAAACATATATGCTCCATTGATTGAGTTCCTTATATTAGCCATTTCCCCTCTCCAGAGGACTGGGATTTTAATCCCTCAGAAAAATATTTTTTTCAAAATGTGCACTTTACAAAGTAGTGCATGTTTTACTTTTCCCCCAGGAAAACAATGCTTTATGGGCCTCATCTTGTAAAATGTGGAACTTTTTATGGGATGTGGAGTTATCTCAGCTACTAATGCATCCAATAGGGTTTGAGGACACTGAGGAAGAGGACCTTGCAGGAAGTGCTCAGTACCTAGCAGGATGAAGTCTTATATGAACTTGAATTGGATAATGGTTACCACAGCATATGCCACAAATGGACACACTTCTTGGAATACCATATATCTGCAGATTCGCCCTCCCCATTTTTAATTTCAGTTCTACCTCCCACTTTTTATTTTGTAGCTTTGCCTCTTGCCTTTCTCTACTTTTCTCCTTTTCTTTAATTCCATGTGTTTATACATCAAGCTCTTTCTATTTTGCATACAGTTTGTCCTCATTTGCATACAGTTTGCTATGTGTTTCTGGGTTTGGAAGATACTGTTTTGGTATATTTAATTGCTGATGAAGTGGAAAATTGGAGGGTAGAGGTATTATTTCTTTGCACAATGGTATGAAAATATCATTGGCAAATTAATCTTCATCACATAGAATCATTGAATCATAGAAGATTAGGGTTGGAAGAGACCTCAGGAGGTCATCTAGTCCAATCCCCTGCTCAAAGCAGGACCAAGAAGTAGAGCACAGCAAGTTAAGCTGGATATTATGATGCATGCCTACTGAAAGTGCCTGACCCTGAGTCAACTTGAACGCCAAAAAAAAAACTCCTTTGGAAATCACTGGGACTTCTGGTTGCTGAGATGCTGATAGACTGAAATGAGAGATTTGACTCTATGATTACCAAGTAAGGGTAATTAAAATATCTTGTAATGTTTTTCTTTTATAATATACTCTGGAAACGGTACTGTATATTAAAATGAATATTATAAACCTTCCAATCAAGCATTTACATACCTGGGTATTGAATTTTTTGAGTGGCTTTAACTTTTGTCTATCAAATATAAAACAAAGAGTAACACCTAGTCAATTTTCACACAGCAAAAAGTTAACTGCAGTGAGCCCCATAGGTCTGTGCTAAGGTCTGTGGTGTTAAATATATTTATCAGGGAAAGCAAAAAGGAAATAAACTATGAGGAAGCAAAATGTGCAGATGACACAGTTATTTAGGCTAGTCAAGACTCAAGCTGGTCAGGAATTTTTTTGTGTGTGAGAATTTTAATTTTTAAATTTATTTATGGGGGAGGGGGGTTGGAAAATGTTGATTGGTCAAAACTGAAACTTTGTGGAAGCACATTGGTTTGGTGACATTTTTTAGGTTCCAGATGGAATTTTTGATGAAAAGCAAATAACAGCTGATCCTAGAGGAGCCAATAGCCCAGCAGAACAGGCAAAGTGAGAACTTGAACTGAAGTCTGTCACAGCCTAAATGAGTGCCCATGACACTTGGCTCTCCTTCTCTCTCGATCTTTGAAGGGTTTCAGTATCATTCCAATGCAGAACAAAAAAACAAATTTCTAAACCTCTTTTGAAACAAAACAAAGCAAAACCCCTCAGTTTCTTGTTCTCTAGCCAGCACTAGTCAAGACTAGAGAAGACTGGAAGGAGGTTCAGAAGGGCATAATACAGCTAGCTAGTACAATAACAGGTGAAATTCACTGTTGACAAAGGAAAAGTAATGTATGTTAGAAGGAATTAATTGAACTACTAATTGTATATTTTGGGTTCTAAATTAACTATAACTGCTCTGAAAAAAGACTGGACAATCATGTTGCTAACTCAATAAATATATTTCCTCAGTGTGCACTGGCAGTCAAAGAGCCTAATGTTAGGATACATAAGGAATGCACTGAATATTTTTTTTTCAAGCAAAAATTATGCTCGAAATTGTACTTGATTTACTCTTGTGAATATTCCAAATGAAGTAATTAGAAATGCCTTTGTGAACAGCCCAAAAAGGATTGCATTTTTATATTATCCAGACATAAGAACATAAGACCAGCCAAACTGGGTCAGACCAAAGGTCCATCTAGCCCAGTATTCTGTCTTTCAACAGTGGCCAATGCCAAGTGCCCCAGAGGGAATGAACAGAACAGGTAATCATCAAGTGATCCATCCCCTGTATCCCATTCCCAGATTCTGGCAAACAGAGGCTAGGAACACCATTCCTCCCCATCCTGGCTAATAGCCATTGATGGACCTATCCTCCATTAATTTATCAAGTTCTTTTTTGAACCCTGTTATAGTCTTGGCCTTCACAGCATTCCACAGGTTGACTGTGTGTTGTGTGAAAAAATACTTCCTTTTGTTTGTTTTAAACCTGCTGCCTGTTAATTTCATATGGTGGCCCCTAGTTCTTATGTTATGAGAAGGAGTAAATAACACTTCCTTATTTACTTTCTCCACACCAGTCAAGATTTTATAGACCTCTATCATATCCCCCCTTAGTCATCTCTTTTCCAAGCTGAAAAGTCCCAGTCTTATAAATCTCTCCTCATATGGCAGACGCTGCATACCCCTCATAATTTTTGTTGACCTTTTCTGAACTTTTTCCAAGTCCAATATATCTTTTTTTGAGATGGGGTGACCACATCTGCACACAGTGTTCAAAATGTGGGCATACCATGGATTTATATAGAGGCAGTATGATATTTTCTGTCTGATTATCTATCCCTTTCTTAATGATTCCCAACATTCTGTTCGCTTTTTTGGATTGCCGCTGCACATTGAGTGGATGATTTCAGAGAACTATCCACAATGACTCCAAGATCTCTTTCTTGAGTGGTAACAGCTAGTTTAGACCTCACCATTTTATATGTGTAGTTGGGATTATGCTTTCCAATGAGCATTGCTTTGCATTTATCAACATTGAATTTCATCTGCCATTTTGTTGCCCAGTCACCCAGTTTTGAGAGATCCTTTTGTAGCTCTTCACAGACTGCCTGGGATTTACTATCTTGAGTAGTTTTGCATTGTCTGCAAATTTTGCCACCTCACTGTTTACCCGTTTTTCCAGATCATTTATGAATATGTTAAGACACAAAGCATTAGTGCATAGCTCTTTTATCCTGGAGATATATGGTCTGATCTTACTCCCATTGAAATTAGTGGGAGTTTTGTTATTGACAGTAGGGTGAAAGGATAGGGCCTTTGTGGGTCTTTTAAAATTTAATATAAAGTCCTTATCCTCGTAGGATGTTAAATGTAGGTAAGCTCGTTTTTCTTCTCTATAAGGGAAAAAATATGTTGAGAGGTCAGTCTTTTAAGGCTGACCAGACATAGTTACAGAGTCCTCTAATAAACAGTACACTGCACCATGTAAAGTATTGTAACATGTTTGTCTGTGTTAGAATATGAAACAGCAGGAAGGATCTGGATTATTCAACTTGGGTGAAAAGAGGAAAGGACATTAAACGCTACCTAGCTGATTTAACAAACAAATATTTGTAGTTTTCCCTTCCTTCATTAATTAATGTAATTCATGTTATGTATATTACTTCCAGCCAACAGAAACATTTTCATTTTCACTTCATAGGCAGAAAGAAATGTAATGAAGAGTATGAAAGAACAAGGCTAGCCACCTATGGAAAGGGAGAAAAAAGATACCTCTTTAGCCATAGCAGGAAGAGTTCTTGAGTGAATCACTGTAGAAATTTCACTTGACTAAAACTCATCATTAAAAGAAAATCTTCCAGGAGCACATTCTGTTTTTTCTCTTGACCTTGCTTGCACGCAGTATTTGGCTAGAGACATTTTACATTCTCTGATGATAAAATCGTTTCATCCTCAATAAACATAATAAATTAAAAGGGCTTTCAGCCACCAGACTACAACATAGCATACACACAAGTAAAATAATTCATTGTTCAGAGACCATAACAAATTTTAATGTGCATTTTACAGAGTAAACAGAGAGCTGCATTGCCATCTGCAAGGGGTCAAACCAGTGGAAGTGAATGCATGTATTACAAAATCCACACAGTACTGAATTACAAATTAAAAAATAATGCTTCATCAAAAAAGGAAACAAAAATGTCTGTTGGTGGCACGACATATAGATAATATCAAAAACTGTCTTGCATGAGGACAATGGTATGTCTACTGTGAAGTTATATCACACATACTGTAAGCAATTTACAGAATTGAAGTTAGTTTTGCATATACAGGAGTTGCAAAATTAGAGAAAACACATCGAAATATAGAACACACACACACAAAAATGTATTTATATAACCACCACACAGTCAGTAGGGGTTGGCCTAAGTCAGCAACTGCCACCATTGGACAAGAAACAAACCAAGAGAAAAGAGAGGAAAAGGAAGGGGGTGGGGAAAAAAAAGAGGAAAAAATTAAAAAAAGTGAAATAAAAAACCTTCAATAGTGCTTCTTGCTTGTCTTCAAAAACAATGTCCTCTAGTCCTGTTAGTTGGTTTGCAATGTTGGTGGGTTTTTTTGCATTCCCCACCCCCACAAAAATAAGCTTTTCATCAAAGTTTCTGAGGTGTTTTTTGTCATCAGCGGTGATGCTGAGTCATTTTGTTTTCTTGGGATTTTTTGTTGGTTTTATTTATTTATTTTTGGCCACTGTTTGCCTCATGGCTGCAACAGTTCTTTCAAAGAAGGAAACCAAATATCATCCAGAGTGAATTTGTATAATACTAATGACTTGCAAGCCAACCCCTGAGCAGTCAAGGATATGATGCTTCTACTTGCTGAAAGAAAAGGAAACTAGGGCTTGCTGTTACAAAATGTCCCGTTACATCACACCAGTTCTCTTCAAATAAATGATCAGTGATACAGGAAAGAAAATAATATAGACCAAGAAAATGTGGTATCCTCTTCATATATATATTTATATGTTTAAACAATATATATATTTGTTTGTTTTGTTTTTTGTACTTCCTGAAGGTGCTCCATGTGTAGAGAATTAGAGTACATTGGGTGCAGAGTGGTGGTTGGAGGTTAGGGTCAACTTTGCTGTCCGCTCCGTGGATTTTACAGGCGATTTGCTCTTTGCTTTAAGAAGAGAAAGTGATATTGGAAAAAGTCAGCACTTTTAGATTAAAGCAAAGCACCCTTCACAAAGCCACAAACAAGAAGCAGGACAGAAAGTCCATGGCTTGTAGCTATCCTCGCACCTGCGGAAGAAGTTATAAGATATTCGCTCATCTTGCAGATTTCCAATGCTCCTTATAAGGCTGTTTAAACACATACATTTTATATATTTAATTAGCTCGCCAGCTTGGCTCTGGTGCCCATGAATGTCTTGGCATGCACTGCAAATAACAACACATACAAAGTATTTCAGTCCCAGGGAGGTTCTTTTTTTTTTTGTATGTATTTTTAAACAATGTAATCTAATTATAATATACATAGAGAAACAAATCTAAACACCTTCCACCTCAAAACATTAATTACAAAATAATTTCTGAAGTTGCTCTGTAATGAGAGTGTTTTCTTACTAACAAAACAGTCTATTGTTGACAGCAAAATATTTGCTTGCAAAATAAAAGCAATGCTAAGGAACCTGGGAGAATGGCAGTGCAGTGTAAGGGAAGAAATGTATGCTCAACTGTTTGGAGTATATTTATTTTTGAGTAATGAGATCTTTTGATGTTTTTTTTTCTCTTCAGAAAGCTAAGAGAATGATGCTTAAACTGTGGCACTAGATTTAATGTAAGATCCCTTAGAACTATGCTAATTAAAATTGAAAAGGTGGCATAGCAAGTATTTTGGAGTTCTAGATGTGTGACATGCTAGGTGTTAAAGTGTGAGACCACTGCTGTACATCATAAATACATAAAGGACTTGCATTACTTTAGGGGAAAGTTGTAAACTGAATCTGGCCATACTCTTCATTAAAGTTCTGTTTATAAAGGGTTAATAAATGATTGATTAGATGTTACAAATACGATCAGCATGTGTTTATAGATGGCAGTCAGGTCACCTGTAGATAGCGCTGTCAATGCTTATAAACAACCTGTTGTGGTTTTGAACCCTAATTTAACATTGAGGAAAACCGCTACTAATCCTTTATAACCTATCTACATATCGAAATTCAACATCAGGTGTGACCCTGAATTTTCTTATCACAAAAAAAGTGCACGTATGACTTCATAAAGCTATAATATGCATTATTAGAAGACAAAGGAAGTTAGTGATATCAAAGATGCTAGGACAAGTGGTTTTTTTTCCCCTTCAGTTTACAGATGTCTGTCCAGTTAAATATCTGTCCTCTTTTGCCTAGAGAATATAGTTTTAGGTAAAAGCTAAAAATATTTGCTTTCCTTTCCCTGTTAGAATGGAGATCAAATTAAATTTCAGATCTCAATATACTGCCTCCTTTTGCAAAAAAAAGTGTGGCTCATTGTACATGGAATTAATATGAGTAACTGGCCGAACTGTGACTTTTATAGGCAGAAGTTGCCATTACAAGGATTTTTACCCACTGTAAACACATGAGGCTATCTGAACTAACTGAGGTATTGAAAATACCCCTGTAGGGGTAGAACAAATGAGGACTTTGTAATGACACCCACTGCACTCCAAAATTGGATTTTCAAAGGGAGCTAAGGAACCTGTGTGCCCAACTCCCATTGAAAGTCAGAAGGAGTTGAGAACATAAGAACGGCCATACTGGGTCAGACCAAAGGTCCATCTAGCCCAGTATCCTGTCTTCCAGCAGTGGCCAATGCCAAGTGCCCCAGAGGGAATGAACAGAACAGGTAATCATCAAGTGATCCATCCCCTGTCGCCCATTCCCAACTTCTGGCAAACAGAGGCTAGGGACACCATTCCTGCCCATCCTGGCTAATAGCCATTGATGGACCTATCCTCCATGAATGTATCTAGCACTTTTTTGAACCCTGTTATAGTTTTGGCCTTCACAACATCCTCTGGCAAGGCGTTCCACAGGTAGATTGTGTGTTGTGTGAAAAAAAATACTTATTTTGCTTGCAATATTCAAGATGTCGGTGTACCATGAATTTATATAGAGTCAGTATGATATTTTCTGTCTGATTACTTATCCCTTTCTTAATGATTCCCAACATTCTGTTAGCTTTTTTGGACTGACGCTGCACATTGAGTGGATGTCTTCAGACAACTATCCACAATGACTCCAAGATCTCTTTCTTGAGTGGTAGCAGCTAATTTAGACCCCATCATTTTATATGTATAGTTGGGATTATGTTTTCCCATGTGCATTATTTTGCATTTATCAGCATTGAATTTCGTCTGCCGTTTTATTGCCCAGTCACCTCATTTTGAGAGTCCTTTTGTAACTCTTTGCAGTCTGCCTGGGACTTCACTAACTTGAGTAGTTTTGTATCATCTGCAAACGTTGCCACCTCACTGTTTACCCCTTTTTCCAGATCATTTATGAATATGTTGAATAGGACAGGGCCCAGGACAGACTCCTGGGGGACACCAGTATTTATCTCTCTCCATTCTGAAAGCTGACCATTTATTCTTACCCTTTTTGTCCTATCTTTTAACCAGTTACTAATTCATGAGAGAACCTTCCCTCTTAACCCATGACTGCTTACTTTGCTTAAGAGCTGGTAGCCTAATTTCTTTATTCTCATTTGAAAGTCTAATGTACAGTAGAATATAATATTATCTGATATTAAGGACTTGATTCTGCACATAAGTAAATTTGCTCACAGGACTGCAACAGATGTACTCGCTATGGATAATTGCTGACACCCACAACTGTTCACAAACTGGACCCAAACGCCACTGCAACTCAGTTTTATTTGTTGCTTGTAGTATCTTATATACATCATCTCTTTTTATCATGGAACGTACCCTTTCTTTATATGCTTTACCTTATTTTAAATCAAGCTTATGGTTCATCATATTTTCAGGAGATTTCCCTCTGTTCCTTAGTTAAATGAGGGCTTTTATCTACAGTTAGACTAGCTCATATTATTTTTATATTTGCAAGTATTTTTACTATCATTTTGTGATCTTTGTCTTATCCATAGAAATCTATTTGAATTGATCGATCAAATTCTTTAAAAAGTCATTTGAATCACACCTTCTCTGCATGAGATCTACAGCACAGTTTATGCACAAATGTTCACAAATCCCATGTGGATATTTTTTAAAGGGGCCTATTTTGAACAATTATTTAATGACAACATAACTTGACAGTTTGAAAACCGTAGCATGATGTTGAAGGAAACTACTACCTTACAAAATGAAACTGACCTAAGTGTTTCAATTTTGGAAAAGGCAAAACTGCAATATTTGCGACCAATCTTTTCTTTTCAGCTACCATTTTGTAGAACACAGAAATGATGATGCACTGAATAATCAAGATGGCATCCTTTTCTCTCAACCATTGCATAAATGTATGCTCCAGATTATATCATTTCCAGCACACAAATTGCAGGCTCTTCTGTTTGTGCTGGGGTGGTTTTGTTTGTTTTTTCAAAGATTTTTAGATCAGGTTTTATACAGTATGTGCACGTTAAAGCTTAAGTGAGCTTATTGGGAACAATCCCATTAAAATATTTCAAATTTCTTAATAAAAAGAGGCTGTTAGGAATATCTGAGGTTACTTAGTTATGTAACATGGTCATCATGGACCTGCATCAGAATCCTTAAGCAGTCTCAGAGGTTGACCCTGTAGCATCCCAATGCAATATTGGAGTCTTACTTTTTCTAAGTACTTTTATTTCTTTTCAAAATGCTCATCCAATCATGAAAGCCACATTCCTAGTAATATGTCCTATCAAATAAAATTGATTTCTAAGCTACAATGAATATGAGTGAGTATGAATGATGGTGAAGATTAAATGAACTTTTATCTTTTCAAGGATACCTTTGAAATACTGTAGGAATCTAAATGTATTCAGATTTTTCACTGAAGCACTGAATACGTTTCTTCAGTCTCATACTGGCTCAAACATCTCTCTTCCCTATTTGCAGGTAGTGGGAAGCATATACAAAGTACAGACCACATTAAAGCAATAAAACAAAAAGCAACTATTTAAGTTTCCATCCTGTTTCTTTTGAAGTCACTGATGGAAGCTATCTTTTATTCCTCTCAATTTCTTCTTTTAATGATATGATAAAGCACTATGTAACAGAAATAGACTGCGGTGCACCTTTCAAACCCAGATCTACATTTCCCAAAAGGTCGGGTGGGGAGGGGGGCGGAAATCTGGCCTTTTGGTTCAACACTTCATATAGACTAAAGCCAGATGCAAACTTCATATCTGGATCCAGATCCAGATGTTCCCGAAGTTCAGGATGTTCAGATCCAGGGTTTTGGTTCAGATGGACTTCTAGTGTACATGACTGGCCAGAGCATGAGTAGCACCACTGGAACTGTGAGCACAGCAATGCTAGTTACAAACTGTTTATCTGGCTGTGGATTTCCAAAGTTTATCACTCATATGCCTACTATTTCTAAAAGGTTTTTTTTCTATAATTAACAAACTAACAGCTAAAAGAGATTTTATTGCACAACACGAGTGCTGTGTAAAGCTTGAACATGATTGTCAGGATCCAGGATAGTGGTCTGAAGAAAGAATGGATGTGTGTGTGCACTATTGCTACATTACTAAAGAAATGCTACTTAATATGTATACTAGTGATTCTCAAACTGTGGTCTTTGAACCACTGGTGCAGAGCACTTGCTCATAGTGAGAGGACAGCTGGCTGGTCACATGGTGCTGGGTCTTCCTTTTGTTCCAGCTGCTAAAGTGCATTGAAAGAAGTGAAACATACATTAAATATTTTCCTAACGTTACTTTTCCATGTAGCTAAATATTCTATTTGCCACAGACATGAGTGTGCATGGGAGGAGAGGGTTCTATGGGAAACTCTTAAAATGTGGTGCACACTATGAAAATCTTTGAGAATCCCTTTGATACAAATATGTGATTTTACTTAAATGCCAATATGATGGTGGGGTGTTGAATAGTGTTCCACACACTTATGAAAAATAAAAATTAACAAATTTTGGCCTTAGTGTTGAAAATAATAAACCCATCTTTAAAGCTAACATGGACACATCTATCCATGTTGTGTACATATCAAGCATGATACGTACAAAAACCTAAATGTGTACATATACTGTATACTAGTGAATGTTAACTTTATTCTGTAATTAGCATTATTGTTAGAATGTCAACATTTTAAATGTTACTTTTCAGCAGAAGGGATGATTTCAAAAGTATAACTGCAGAATACAGTTGGTCAATTGGTCATGTGACTCATGCTAGGCTGACAGACCTGATAATGAGAGTAGAGTCTCCAGCTT